TGCTGCTTTAAATTGGAGAGATTGACCTTGTAGCAGGAGGTGACATGCAGATGCACATCAGCAGCCGCCAGAGCGGGCGGCGGGGGCCGGGGGGTGCCCAGCCGCCTCAGGGACAGGCCAACTATTTTATGAGTAATTTAATATCTGGAACACAGACTTTTCATTCCCAGAGATCTGCTGGGGAAAGAAAGAGCCTTTCTGCAGCCCCGAAAAGGCTGTTCCTCATAAGGAGGCAGAGCAGAAAATAAGGGCCTGGGACTTAACCCCTCAGTGGCCAGAGCAGAGCAGAGCCTCCGCAGCTCCCAGTCCTTGCAGAGGGGCCAGGAAAAAGCAAGAATTCCCAGTGCAGCTCCAAGTGGGAGACAAGCCAGCCTGCGTAGGAGAAATGATTGCTCCTTCCCATTCAAATTAAAATCCAAGCCTGAGTGAGGATGGAGGAAACAAACTGAAGCCCTGAGGTTAGATTTGGGATAGGAGGTGGTGTCTGAACTCCCTGATCAGTCTCAGGCTGGTTCCTGTGGAATCAAACTCCACATGAGTCCCACTCAGGCTGTGACCAGTCCCATCCTCCTCCGCCCTACCCAGGGGATCCATGCGGGGAGCTCCTGTCCTGCGGAACACAAAGCAACCATGGGGCCCTCAGTCTCCACCCAACCCGAGTTGGCCCCACTGGTGTCTGAATCCCCGCCCAAGCCAAGCCTGGCGCAGTGCCCCAGTGACACCCCTGCCCAGAGCACACCAGCATCATGGCGCAGCACTGGACCCGTGCAGGGTTTCCCATATGCCTCCTGCTTGATTTTATGGTTTGAGGAATGGGAGGGAAGGAAGAACATGAAAAAATGCAGCATCTTGCTACGCAGCCCTGCCCAAGAGCAGAGAAGGTGGAGAGCAGCCACTAGCTTGGCAGCAGCGACCGTGCCTGGGTGCCGGGAGGCAGGAGGGAAGGAAACGCTGACGGGCTGTGCAGGAAGGAGCTGCTGGCAGGGGGATAGCATCCCTGCACCCTGGAGCAACACCCTAAGCTGTGTGGGAGAAGGGTGGTTTGGCAGGGCTTGCAGGGGGGGCTGGACTGTGTGGCCTCCGGGAGACCCTGCCGGACAGCACGGCTGTGGCTGTACACTGGCAGCAAGAGCCAGGGTCAACCAAGGATGGTTTAGGAGGGGCTCTTCCTTGGGGAGCAGGTGCTGTGGACGGACCAGGCTCAGTGCAAATGGATCAACATCTTGGCAAGTGCCACTTCATTTGCTAGTGATGTTAGACCAACCGTGGGACCCACATCTTACCGACAATCAGCACAACCGTGCTTTGATCTCTCCAGTTCAGCTTCACTTTCCATGAATACCAATAGGCACTGGGGTGTGTTCTACCACATCAGATCCTGCCAGAGCCCTGCTTACAGCCGGACTGGAACCTTGGCAAAGAGAAAACCCCAGCTAGACAACGCGGGGGAAACCACCATGTCATGTGAGTTCTGGCTGATCCCTCTTGCTGCGTGCCTTGAAATAGGAAGATTTTATTTGAAAATCCTGACAGCTCTCTACCAGTGGCTTTGCACGTCAGTGGACTTGCTCCAATTGAGCTTTGGACCAAACAAGTGCCTGCTTGCAGGGAGTCCCCAGAAAGCGACCTCAACACTTGCTGCTTTTTGGTGTCACCTTCACCTGGTACGTGACAGGGCAGGGTGCCCAAGTGGCACAACCGTGCTCCTGTCTCACCCAGCTCCCTGAGCCCCTGCACCCCCTGGCACTGAGAGACCAACCCCCCCCACGGCTGTTCAGCTGCAGCTTGGCAAAACACTTACAACCCTAAACCTCCTGCTCTGAATTCACCTCAAAACACCACCCACCTCACTTTCTACCGGGCATCCGCTGAGCATCTGGTGGCCTCTGCCTGGGCACATCCCAGACCTTGGTACAGAACTGACTCCGCATTCGAGTGAAGCTCTACAGCTTCATTCTGGCTTGACCATGAGGCAGTGCTGCTGCTCCAGTTTCATCTGTGATGCCATTGAAATAAAAAGAAAAATCAAAAGGGACAGAAGAGAAGCAGAACGTGCGTTGTCAGGGCAGATCTGCAGAGAGCACGCACAGAGCAGAGTGAGCGTGCGCAGAGCAGGGTGAGTGTGCACAGTGTGAGCATGCCCAGAGCAGCGAGTATGTGCAGAGAGCAGGGTGAGTGTGCACGGGTGCACAGCATGAGCATGCACAGCGCAGGGTGAGTATGCACAGGCGCACAGCACGAGCATGCACAGAGCAGGGTGAGTGTGCACAGTGCAAGCGTGCACAGACTGGTGGGAGGGAGCACAAGGACAGCACACGCAGAGAGCACGCACAGAGCGCTGGGACAGCTCTGGCAGGTCCCGGGTGAGAACAAAACCTGCAAATCTATTCAATGGGTGCAGATGTGGCCAGGTTAAAGTTTGGTGAGTGGCAGGCGCTCATGGGAAGATGTAAAGAATTAATTAAAGCTGCAAACTGGTCCTTCAGACAGTGAACGTGGAGCTTCCCCTGTCCAGCCTCCTCATCACCAGGCTGCACCCAACCCTGCAGCAGGTTTCTCTGCAAATCCCCTGTTACTGGTTGTGTTGTTCCAAGATTGCTTTGTTTTGTATGGAATAATTAATTACATACTGGAGTGCAGGGCAGGGCTGTGATGGGGTTTGATTTTTCTTGGTGTGGCCCTGAGTGCCACTGGAAGAACTGCAGGGTGATGCAGCATGGCCCATTGCCCTCCCCAGCTGCTCATGGTCCTCTGGGACCCTTATCTCATCCATTTTGGGTACCTGAGGGATACAGGGCAGCAGGCAGCTGCCATCCCATGGAGCTAAAGCCTGGGGTGGCATTGCCAGGCGCTGGCTGAGACCCACGGGAGGAAGCAATGCCCTGTGCACCTCTGTTTTCTGGCTGTGTAAGCATGGTGAGCTGCACTTTAGAGACAGTTGCTACCTGCACTGCCCTCAGGCCCTCTCCAGGTACAGCCAAGACCCTAGAAACCCTTCGGCTTGTGCTGGTGTTAGGCCAGGCATAAGTTTTAAAAATAAAACCAGCTCCACTCCAGGGGGGTCCTGACAAAGACCTTTTCAAAAGTCAAAAATGATTATATCAATTACTAGGAAAGGCAGAAAGCTTCAACTTGCTGTCTGTCAGCATCCCAGATCCCTTCCCACAAACATTCCCCCTGCCCCTGCCTGTCCCATTGCGCGGGGTCACCCCATGCCAGAGGAGGGACTTTGCATTTTTTGGCATTAAATGTCAGCAAGCTCCTGCCAGCTCCATTCCCAGCCTGTCAGGGCTCTCTGAATGGCAGCCCTGTCCTCCAGTGTATCAACTGCTCCTTGGTTTGGGGTCTCCTGCAGACCTGCCAAGGGTCCAGGAGGCTTAGCTGGCTGCCCAGCCTCTGGTTTGGGGGTCAGATACCCACTCTTTTCCTCCACCTGCCCTGCTGACCCCATTTTATTTGGGATGCTGCATCTCTAGCTGCAAAATGGCCAGAGCATTGCAGCTGCATTTTAAAAGCAGCCCAGTGCTCCTGCCCAGGGAGGGCTTTGGGATGTGACACCAAACATCTCTGCTCTGACTTTCTGACAGGAGGCGGAGGTCTGGGGACACGGGGTAGCTGCACCCCTGGGGGCCGAAGCCACAGATTTTGCTGGGGGAAGGAGCAAGTGGTGAGGTGGCCAGGACAAAGCATTAACCCAGGGCTGCAAGAGGTGGCACTAATCCTGCCCAGTGCCTCCTCCCAGACCTTAGGGGCAAAGCAGAGCTGAGCCTCAGCCTTCTGCCTGATGCCTGCAAGCTTTGCTGATGGGAAGGGATGCTCCAGCCATCAAGGTGGGGCTGATCCAGCCCCTGGTGCCACCTGCCGGCAAATCCTCCTGGGCAGGGGCTGGAACCTCCAACCCAGCCACCCAGAGCTGGGGGCCCTGGCCCCATGAGGAGGTCTGAGGGCTCAGCGAGGATGCTTCCTAAAAGCCAGCCCACATCCCTCTCCCCCCTATCCCCTCCCAGACCCTTTATCATCCCCGTCCCCTTCAGCCGGCCCCTTTCAAATCCCAGATCCCCACAAAAAGTCTCCTACATCCTGGGCACCCTGTGTACGCCCTCACAGCTTCACACCCCACAGCGCCTGGTACCACCTACTACAGCTGGGCTGGGGGCTGTAGGCAACCCCCCACCCAGGTACAATGCTGGATTGTCACCTGCCCCAGGGACAGGGACATCCTGGGGTCCTCAGCTCTTATTCATCTGGAGGTCCTCAGGTCCTTGGATCTCCAGGGGGGCTTGGCTGTGCTGTAGAACCTGCAGGTGCTGGTCCTCTGCTGGGGTCATGGGGCTGCTCTGGACCCTGCCCAGCTGCACCATGTGGGGCCATGTGCCCCACACCTCTTACATCGGGGCATCAAGCTCTGGCTTCCCCAGCTCATCTTCTCACAAGCATTGACAAGCCCCTGTGGGTATTATTGTCCCCACCGCCACAAAAATAAGGTCTAAGAAAGGTTGGCTTCCCCAGATCCCACCAGCCCCAGGGCTGTCCAGTACAGCACCGTCTCCAGCATCTCCCCATCTACCACCAGTACCCAATGGCCCCAATTTTCCCACTATGTTTTGTGTGCTGCCCCGCGCTAGAGACCAGGCTTCCTCTCTGTGTTCCCCTAACCCTGGGCTGGGACTTTCTCTGCATGGCTCTGGAAGGGGACACTCGGCATGTGCTGCAGCAGGACCTGCGTGGATTGCCCAGCTCTGCTCAGCAGTAACGACGTACTAACGAAGGGGGCCTCACCCAGGGGTGCAGGGGGGTATGCCCTGGGTATCTGAGTGTTATTCAGGGGGAAAGAGACAAGGAAGGAACCAGCAGCACCAGGAGCTGTCATTTAATGTGCCAGACTGGCAGCAAGGGGCTTAGGGCACCAGATCTGGGGCAGAGAGTCTTTTCCAGGGGGGTCCTCAGCCCTGCAGGGGCCAGCAGCAGAGGAAGGGCTGCGGGGTGGCACTGCCAGAGGGCTAAGCCTCAGGGAAGATCAAGAAGCCAGAGAAGATGCTGTCAGACCCTTCGATCCCCACCAGGGAGTTCTTCTCCGTTGGCTCCAGCCAGACGGACTCGTTCTCTGCCATCTTGAGGACCACCCCCCCCGTGGTGACCTGGTAGCTGCTGTGCACGAAGTCGCAGAACATCACCACCTTCTCACCCCTGCTGCCACCCCGGCCCTTTTTCACACTGAGGCACAGGTTGGCCCTAGAGGTGACGTGGTAGGTGAAGTAGTAGATGCCAGGGACCCGGCAGGTGAAGCGGCCATACCGGTTCTCGTAGTGGCCATTCACATTGGTTATGATGCGGTCGAAGCGGATGGGCTGCTCCCGGCGTGGGTAGGTGCTGATGCTCCTGGCAGCGGAGAAGGCGGACTTGAGGGTGGCCTTGTAGTCACCAGAGTCCCCCTTAGGGCCAGGGGGTCCCATGGGACCTGGTAATCCCTTTGAACCTGGGGGGCCCTTGGGGCCGACCTTCCCAGGGTACCCCGGCATTCTCCTTTCTCCCCAAAATCTGCTTCGTGCTCCACCTGGCCAGGGGGACCTAGAAAGTGGGAGGAAGAGTTGTGGCCACAGCTGAGCCCCACGGGTCTGTAGAGGGGGCAGTGGGAAGGAAAGTGCCAGTACCTGTGCTGGGGTGTGGGTCAGCAGAGACCCCCACCCATCTGGCAGGTATGACACGCCCTGCACCCGCCCTCCTCAGGTCCCTCAAGGTGCTCCAGTCTGCCCAGCCCGTTCTGTCCCCCAGCATCACCCCCACCTGATAACACCTGAAGGGGACCGGTGGAAAATGGATGGCTTTCCCAAGACCATGTGCCTGTCACAGGCCACCCCCGGTATCAGTACAGGCTGGGGATGAAGGGATGAAGAGCAGCCCTGCCAAGAGGGGCTTGGGAGTACTGGGGGATGAAAAGCTGGACATGAGCCAGCAAGGTGTGCAGGCAGCCCAGAAGCCAACTGCTTCCTGAGCTGCATCAGAAGAAGCATGGCCTGCAGGTCGAAGGAGGTGATTCTGCCCCTTGGTCCTGCTCTGGTGAGACCTCACCTGGAGCCCTGTGTCCAGCTCGAGGGTCCCCAGCACAAGACAAACAGGGACCTGCTGGAGTGGGGCCAGAGGAGGCAACAAAAATGATCTGAGGGCTGGAGCCCTTCTCCTACAGGGACAAGCTGGGAGAGTTGGGATTGTTCAGCCTGGAGAAGAGAAGGCTGCAGGCAGACTTGATTGCGGCCGTTCAGTGCTTAAAGGGGGCCTATAGGAAAGATGGGGACAATCTTTTTAGTAGGGCCAGCTGTGACAGGACAAGGGGTGATGGTTTTAAACTAAAAGAGGGGAGATTTAGACTGGATATAAGGAAGAAATTTTTTACAATGAGGGTGGTGGAACACTGGAACAGGTTGGATGGGGCTCTGACCCACCTGATGTTGAAGATGTCAGTGGGCATTGCAGAGGGTAGGACTAGATGGCCTCTTAAGTCCCTGCCAACACAAGCTGTTCTATGATTCTATGATTTTCCTGTTCTCAGTATTCACAGCAGGATGTTCTCCTTGCCCGCAGCCTCCTCCTTACCTCGCTCGCCCTTCAGGCCGTTCTCCCCGTCTCTGCCATTGCTGCCGGGCTGTCCTGGTGCCCCTGGGATGCCTGGGATGAAGCCGTAGGTCTTGCAGAGTGTGGCACTTGCCAGCTGCACTCCAGCCAGGCAGATCAGAACCGCCCAGAGGGTCTGCATCTGCTGGAGCACAGGAGGATGTGGAGGGACTTGCCTTGGGCGGTGGGAGGGATGGGGAGGGCATTCTGAGCTGCTCTGGAGGGCGATGGCTAGAAGCACTTCTGGGTAGTACCATTGGGGAGGGAAAACATCCAGCTGCAGAGCCAAATCTGCTCTCCTGATGGCCTTGGAGGGACCAGCCCATTTGGGCATGGGAGGGCTTGTCAGTCCCCACTTTAATCTTACCAGTTTACAAGTGCCCAGAGCTTCAGCCACATGACTATCTGGGGACAAGTCAGCCCGTCCCACAGGTCTGATGTCCAGCCTGGCCGTGCCACTGCCACTGACATGTGCTGCAGGTCCCTACTGTTCTGAGTGCCCACTGCTCCCTCAGAGGAGAAATTCTCCATCCCATCCCGGACCAAAACTCCAGGGTAAAATACTTCCCCAGGCCAGAGCTGTTTCATCATCTGCAAGGGGAGAGCTCTCACTTTCCTTCAGCACATCTGAGGGACAGCTTTAGTCCTTGCAAATGGCAAAGAAATCCCCAAACCTGCCCTCCCAGCTCCTGCGGGTTCCCACCGTGCCCTGCCACGTGCCTGCTTCATCCCCAGAGCAGTTCCGTATCTACCCAGCCTTATCGGGATGGCCGTCTGGGCTTCCAGTCCCTGGGGTCCCATATCCCTTCTGCCCTCCCTGCATCCCACAGCTCAGCTCCTTCCCCCAGCACC